AGGGTTGGGAAATAATATGCTGCATTTTTTGTGTATGTGTACATGTGTGTGCGTGTGTGTACGTGTGTGTGCGCACGCGCCCGTGTGTGTGTGTGTGGGGGGAGAGGGGGGTATTTCTCTAAGGGTGTGTGTATTTGGCCCCATTCACACCTGTGAGTTTAGGTGTGATTAGGGATTTCTGCATCAGGAATTTGCATTTTCTTGCAGCTGGGATCCCTAATCTGGCGATTACAAACAGCAACTGTCACCCGTTCAAGTTAATGATCAGGTGACAGCCGATGCATGTAAACATCACCACACCGCATGTAATGGTATGTGATATGATTACATATAGTTAGGAATCAATCACTTTCTGTGGATGCACGATCAATGCGTCCAGGGAGAGTGACTGTTTTCTAACTGCATGTAATGATATCACATACCATTACATGCGGTTTGCAGGCGTTCACCTGATCATTAACTTGAATTGGTGACATCTGCCACTTGTAAACGCCAGATTAGGGATTCCCAGCTGCAGGAAAATGCAAATTCCTGACACAGAAATCCCTTATCACACCTAAACTTACAGGTGTGAATGGGGCCGTATTGTGTGTGTATTAGTGCGTGCTCACATAGTGCAGGCCTATTCATATGCAGCAGCCATTTTGGAGTATTCATGTGTTGCTCAGCCTATCTTCATTATAAAATTCACTCACATGCAGTTTAGGCTCTGAAAACTATGACAAAGGCTTATACATACCTCTCAAATATACGTCATTTGAAGGGGCTTTCCCTCATTTGGAACCAAATCCCTCTTTCCCACTTTTTTGCTCAGTTGTCCCTCTTTTTGGTCTGATGTACAGATATCTATGAAATGGTTCTATTTACAAAAAAGGTTTGGCATATAAATTCCTTATGATCTGCATAACTGAGGGCATGGCATTGTCCATTGCCTAAATACATTGCACTGGAAGGTACCCCTCTTGCTCATCTTAGAAAATTGGAAAGTATGGTTTAAAGTCACTACATTACAAGTTATAAAACTTGATATTACAGCAGAATAATATATTATAGGACATAAAACTAAAGTTTGTATAGAAATAATATTTTCATAGTATGCTACCTGTGGAAAAACTCTTCTGTGCACTGCAACCAGATTCAGAGCACAAATCGTTAACGTCCATTATAGCATTACAGTCTGACAAAACATTCCTCAGTCTTGTTATCAGATAGTAACGAAAAATATTTATTTGGTGTATGTTAGAAAATAATTATGAATATATTAGCCACCTCCCGTCCATGGCCATTCGTAAACGGCTGGACGGGAGACTTACAGGAGCGGGAGGGCATCTTAAGACGCCCTGCCCCTCCCCCCTCTCGTGTGCGGCGCTCAGCACACACACGAGTGGGGAAACTGTGAGCATGTAAGCAGCCAGCGTACTGGCTGCGGCTGTGCGCCTCACCCCCGTACCTCCACCAGCGCCGCCGGTCCTGAGATCCGATGTGCCAGTGCGGCTGGGACTGGCACGGTGCAAAAACGACGATTCCGCTTTTTGTGCCGCACATGTTACATATCGCCACAAACGTCGGAATGAGAGCAATAATTCTAGGGCCATTAAATAATGATAACACTAAAATGATAAGCGGTAAAAGCTTTTAAAGCGTCGCCTGTGGCCAATTTTGGGTGTGGTCGTTTTCTGCAATTCTGCGGGCGCGCGCAATTTTAAAGCTTGACATGTTTGGTGTCTATTTACCTGACGTGACCCCGCCTTTTATATTTTACAAAAAAATTGGGGTGATAATAAATGTTGCATAACATTTCATAGGGACACAGGTTTTTTTTTTCAAAATTTAGGATACTTTTTTTGTTATTTAGAAAAAAATAAAAACCCCAGTGGTGATTAAATACCACCAAAAGAAAGCTTTATCTGTCCCCCAAAAAATGGTATACAATTTGTTTCAGTACAGCGTTGCATGACGGAATAAACGTCAGTCAAAGTACCGCAGCGCTGAACACTGAAAAATGGCCTGGCCAGGAAGGGGGTGAAACACCATGGTCTTTAAGTGGTTAATGAAAGCACTGGAAGTGTATTGTGTGTATTTTTCCTGGTGAGTGATTTAATCCAGTCCCAATGCTCCCTTTTAGGCTTATCATTATAACTCATTGCAGTCCAGAAATATTTGGTCAATATTCATATATGCAACATCACTGTATTACACAAACATACCCTGTTGCTTTCAAAGTGTAAACATGCCATGCCAGTGAAAGCACATGCCTGTTGTACATTGGCGGCCATTGCACATATAGCTCTGAAATGCATTTAAGGTCAGTGAAAAATGTATGCTGACAAATTTAATCTCTAATGGTGCAGCAGAAGGTGCAGTTCTGGTGTAACAGATAACTCATCACTCCCCAGGCAGGTCAGCTATTGTGCCCGAGTAGCCACTGTATCAACTGAAACTATACTTCTCCAAAAGGGTGTATCAGTATTTGAAAAATGTGAGTTCACCATTTGACAGCAGCAGGGAGGGGGACACTGCAGTTTAGGGTAAGCAGCTTAATAAATACCCATGCTTTGTCTTGAAAGCCCAATTGTATTGCCCTTTCCCCTACCTGTGCCGCATATCAGCCACATGGGCCACCAGTTACACCCCTGAAAGAGATTAATTACTTTAACTTTATAGAGATGTTCTCTCATTTCATATTCCATTTCCCGGGCAAGAAGTAAAGGGAACTCGCCTAAATAAAAAGTAAACTAACAGGGGTTTTTGACCCTTTCCTATTCCATTCTAAACTTTTGATAGGAAAACAATGTTCTACATCATATTTTAACATATCACAAACCAAAAAAGTCAACATCACTCAAAACCAGTAAAAATGAATAAAAAATATAGCCACCTAAAATACTATTAAATGCACAACCTTGTCAACGGTCAGGAATGAATGTAGGACCTTCAGAGCAGATACAGGAAAGGAGCATTTTCAGAAGGTGTTTAATATTTACATTAGGATGCATAATAAAAATCTGTGACAACGGCAAAAGCATTTCAATCAATTCATGCATATGGAAATATTCAATAAACATGTTAATTTTAACTTCATATAGAAAACGGTTTACATGATTACATTTATGCTTTTAATCAAGTGTAATCAAGCACACGGTATGAATAAAAATATTTTAAATAAACATTAAAATAAATTAATCACTAATAAAGCTGTTTTTTTAATCTTGGAAACATAAATAATATTTAGAAAATGTAAAGCATTTATGGGGAAAATGTACACAGGAGCACAGCCCAACCCATTGTCTGAAGGAATTGTGGGTTTGGAATGACCTTAGAAATAGTCACATAGTGAGTAGCATGGGAGCGTCAGTGGTGATATGGAATGGAGATAATTGTAATGTGGTAAAAATTGTGGTTGTTAAGAATATTTTATCTGGAAAAAGAAGAGAAGATGTTTTATGGAGAGTGTCAGTCAACATTATTGCTCAGTAAGCCTTGTGATTCATTTTGTACAGTTTTGCATAATTTCATCATAAATTGTGATAATTTTACCGCAGTTTTAAACACTAATTTGTCAGCCATCTGACTGGCCAGGTTTGTGGAAGAGCACAACGTCTTCTATACTATTGCTACTGATGTATGGTATATGCAACAATGCAATCTGTATCCGGGTAGATATTACCTTACAAGACATACAGGTAGTATTCCTGCCTCTACTTTTACTTTCTGCATTACATCTACAGTAGACACCAGAAAAATCCCTTGCTACCCTGTTTCCCCGAAAATAAGACCTACCCCGAAAATAAGACCTAGCTGTGACCATTCCCAGGGCCGGTGGTGGCATAAGGGGGAACTTGAAAAGTCGCGGGAGAGAATCAGCGGTACCAACAAAGCCAGCGCTAGATGAAGCGAGCCGGCACCGGAGAGAGCAGAGCCGCATAAACCGATGCCTCCTCTATAGCGCCGGCTCCTGTCACAGGCAGAGTGATACCAAATGCACTTCGCCTGTGAGGAATCGATAGTGAAAGTGCGCTACGCTCATTCTGGCCATCGATTGGCTAGCACATTGCTCTTGGAAAGGTACGGCACCCCTGATTGCCCTGATCACCATTTTTTTGTACATGAATACATGTAGACTGTTGTACATGAATAAGTGTGGATTGTTGTACATAAAAAAAATTATAATAAGACCTACCCCGAAAATAAGACCTAGTGTATTTTTTTGAGCCAAAAAAAATATAAGACAGTGTCTTATTTTCGGGGAAACACGGTAGTAAACACAATGACGGGCACTACATATGGAGTCACTGCATTATACTTATGGATCAAATTGTTACCCATTGCTAGTAGCAATGTTATGTTTCAAGAAAAACTGAATATAATTTCAGGAAAGAATGCTTTCAGTTTATTAGTGATGAACAAACTTTTGAACATACTTTTGGCATCACCATCAGTGAATAGTATGTCTGTTTTGTGTATGATTTTATAATTGATGATGTTCAAGAGCTTAACTGTTTATTCTAGTAGATGCAGGTAGTAGCACTTGGTAAATCATATGTAGCGGAAGCTACCTTAAACAGACAGTGACACTAAAATCAAGAGTTAGAGCTTAAAAATGCTATGAAAAAACTATGAACAAAAATGTATTTTTTTGTGTGTTACTCAGCTGTATTATTATTATAATACAGGATTTATATTGCGCCAACAGTTTGCGCAGCGCTTAGCTGTAGATCCTCAAATCATCTCTGAATTCATACTAATACTGTTCTTCCTTCTGGAGGGTGGCTACTTTTGTTCCCCATGGTCCCTGTGTTTGTTGTAATGTGATGAACTACAATCTCTTGTTTAGTTTACTAATTCGTATTGAGATTATAGTCTATCACAGGAGCGAGCTTGGAGTGGTGGCTACTTTACAACACACAAGGACCTCGGGGGAACAAAAGTAGCCACCCTCCAGAAGGAAGGAAAGTGTCAGCATGAATTCAGAGATGATTTGAGGATCTACAGCTGAGTGATACACAAATAAGGTACATTATTGTTAAAAGCTAATGTACTTGAATGCATTTTTAGGATGTAACTCCTGAGTGTAGTGTCACTTGAGGTCCTGGGCCACTGGAGCTGTATAATTCCATGAGGTAAACTTTAATAACACATACAGTAACAGGGTCACTGTAGTATTAGCAGTAAAAAAAATTATTCAATGTGCAGATTGTTCTGGATTATGTATACAGTGCTGTCCTTAGTAATATTATCAATATCACTAGAAATCGTTGTAGAGCTGTTTTTGTACTTTTTTAACAGATTTTGTTTTTCATTTCTTTAATGCTATTAATCGCATAAAATGAGTAAATAACTTTTAGAAACGTTATTTTGAAAAGGAATGTGAAGAGCATTTCACTTACTTCTTATTCATGCCCTGAATGGGTATTTTTCACCAGGTTACAAGAGGAGAAAACAGGGCTGGAAAGAGAATACGAACGAATGCCAAAATCTGGGGTAAGCAACAACAAATAATGAGCAGCATGAGTCATTTATTAATTATAGATGTCATTAGTTCAAGAATTCCAATTTTTAAAAAACATTGTTACCAAATTTGCTATTACTAACTTACACAGGCATTCCATGGCTTAACCTCTCTTACTGCAAACAATCCTTTTAACATGGTAGAGAAATCTTATTTCTTCCACATACCCTAATTCTCCTTTGACCCTTGTACAGTCCTTAGGATGAACATTTAATGGTCAGATCTTTATCCAGGGTTTGTGTATATTTATATGTAATATATTACTTGTAAGATTTCTTTTTATATATACGGAGTATTTGCAGTTTTTAAACCCTTGATCTTAAGTTAGACCCCCCAACACTTTTACAGTACTGATTTGGTAATAACAGCCTACATGTTATTGTCATTTTATACAATGTAGAAATTTTACCAATGTTTTAGGAGCTAGAAAAAAGGGCCAAATTACTCAAAGAAGCCAGCGAGGAGCTACAAAAAGAAAATAGCCAAAGGCTTTTGGAAATCAAAACACTGAAGGAAGACTTGGCTTTAAAGGAAAAAGAAATTCAAAAAGAGCAAAAAGAACTTGAGAAGGAAATTGAGCAACAGGAAATCATAAAGGTACAGTGAAGCTGTCTTATCTTTTTGTATATCTGAAATTAAAAACAGAAAAACACTGTGTATTAGTTATAGATGCATCCATCTAATGAGATACAAGATACAAGGCTTACCTAGTTGTTAGTTTTTATGAGTTAGGCATTGCCAGTCAAATTTACCTTTTCCATGCTTGTCCATGCAAACGTCTTTGAAATTTTTATAAATTCCATTAAGATTTTTCAATGAAATGTTATTTAAAATTTTATTTAGCAATTTAATGGATGTGCATGGATGACAGCTGCATTTTGATTGGATGGTGTTACTGCACTTTGTACATTAATTTTTGCCTTAGCGGACCTTTTAATAACTTGACATGTTTGCAGTATAAACTCATGACATGTCACAATATAAATCAACAGTTTAATTCTTCAAGAAAGCTTGGCCTTTATTACCAAAGGACAGGTTTTGAGCTCCAGTCATGTGTCTCCACCTAGGCTAATATGATGTCATCAGTCTGCTGCAGACAGGAGGGGACATTTCCTTAAGTGAAACTAAACTTAGGAGTTAAATCTTAAAAATGCATTCAAGTACCTTAACTATTAATAAAAATGTATCATATTTGTGCATCACTCAGCTGTAATCATCTCTGAATTCATCATGACACTGTCCTTCCTTCTGGAGGGTGGCTACTTTTGTTCCACATGGTCCCTGTGTGTGTTGTGAAGTAGCCTCCTGTCCAAGCTCGCCCCCGTGATGGACTACAATCTTGTGTTTAGTTTACAAATTTGTATTGAAATTGTAGCCCGTCATGGTAGAGAGGTGGCTACTTCACAACACACGCAGAGACCATGGGGAACAAAAGTAGCCACCCTCCAGAAGGAAGAACAGTGTCAGCATGAATTCAGAGATGATTTGAGGATCTACAGCCAACTGATACACAAATAAGTAACAGTTTTGTTAGTAGTTAAGGTACTTGAATGCATTTTAAAGGTTTAACTCCAGGGTTTAGTGTAACTTTTAGTTTCCTTCTCCCAGTGATCAGACTGCAACATTGTAACTGTAGCAACTTATGATGAGAGACTGCAGCAGGAACCAATCCGTGTTAGACATTTGTAAATACAGCCAAAAAAAACTACCGCATTTACATGATTTTTGAATCTGTGAGGCAGCATCTTAGCCCAGTTAATAGATGCTAATTCTGGAAAAAATCCCTAAACATAGATGGTGCCATCCTTCAGCAGAGGAAAGTACTGTAGATAAAGACATTACCGTGATCCCTGTGAGAGGTAATAAATACCTTTTAAGAGTTGCACTTACACATTACTTAGCATGAACACTTCATAAAATATACTGATGGCAGGTTTTAAAGTGCGACTTGCAGTAAAATGAAAGGTCCACTTAAAATGCCCTGACTGGCTCCCCTTTACAAATCACCTCCAGTTAGTAGGTGTAAAATGTACCTGAAAAAAGTTTGATTTATACTTGTGCTTCTGGGAATATTCCTGGGGAATGCAGAACAGGCAAAATCTAGCTTGAAGATGCTCCAGTCCATTGCAAGAGTGTCTTCTCTTGAGATTTCTGCTACTCTGTGTTCTCCAGAATTTAGCCAGAAGGAGTGTGACGTTATTCCCTTCTCAACGCTATGGACTGAAGCTGGGGGTGAGGTAAATGGAAACCATGACTTTTTTTATTTCCCGATACATTTTACACCTACTTTTAGTAGGTGATCTATAAACGTGGAGGAGGCCCAACAAGTGTAAGCAAACTTTGCATTTTACTGCAAGGGCCACGTAAGTAAAAACTTTCTTTTATAATCAGATGATTATGATCATATGTTATCTTTTTTCCAGGATGAACTTGTGCAAGTCCAACAAATCCCTGTACAGCTTGGCAAAGACATGGAGAAGATAAACCGCAAAACAGTGTATGATTTTAAGGAAAATTGCCAGTTAACTTGTACATACTTATAAAGGGTTAAAAGGCAAAGAACAAAAATAAGTGCAGCCAACTGTATATAGGGAGGGGAGATTGCAGATAACTTTCCCAGACATGCCTAAAATTTGGCTTGACTATGTAAAGTAAGCTCTAAACATGTGCAATATAACTGGGGAATTACAACATTGTTGAATTTAACAATAAATGATAGCCTTCCTGGTTCCAGCAGAGGTTGGAAGGCTAAACTTGGACTACGACAGCTAATAGTACAGAAATTATGGACGTTTGTGGAAAATAGTCTCTAGCTAAATGCAAGGCAATGTGATATATTTGATTACAGAAATGAAAAATTCATTTCAGTACAGCGTTGCATGGCGGAATAAATGTCAGTCAAAGTACCGCAGCGCTGAATACTGAAAAATGGCCTGGATGGGAAGGGGGTTTAACACCGCGGATGTCAACTGTTTAAAGGAGAACTATGAGGTGAGTGCTTTTCACTCACCTCATAGTTCTAGCCGACCTGTAACAATGAGACTGTCACAGGTCGGCTCAGTAGATCGGGAGGTGAGCGAACACATACCAGCGTTCGCTCACCTCTCGATCCTGTCACGGCTCTCTGCCGTGACAGGGGAGGGGCTGGATTCCCCCCCTCCCCGCTCCGATCCGCCAGCACTGACTGGCGGAACAGATTGGTAAGGGGGCGGGTACAGCTGGCTCTGCCACTAGATAGGCAGAGCCAGCTGTCAGTCACGCAGCTGGGTGGATCCCGGCACAATTGTCGGGATCCGCTTCAGCTGCGGCGTCTCAGTATACCGCGAGCAGCAGCTCGCGGTATAATGAGCCTAGGGTGACTGGAGGACGTTAGTTTGTGTCCTGCCGTTACCCTAAGGAGAACTATGGGGAAAAGCCTTAACCCCATAGTTCTCCTTTAAGGTTTGAATCTCATTAGTGGCTTTGGGGAAATATATCTGATTCTTAGTAACACCACATTAATACATAAGGTCATGGCTGGACAAATCCAAGGAGCCAGGTAGCCAATGCGCCTTAAAAATCACAGCTGCACCTAACTTTTGAAGTATTCCCTAATTGTTGTCAATGGAGCTAGCTCCTAACATCCTGCTGGCTACTGGATTAGACAGACTGGCTCCTGAATTCCATATCAATTTGTCCACCCCTACATAAGGACCCTAGAGTCAGATCCCCCAGATAAGCCAGCAACTTATTCTACTACTCATTGCTTTTTAATTCATTACTATTGAGCAGGTGCCCTATAGGGATTAAAATGTTCCAATCCACACAGAGATGATAAACTTATTTGCCAAATAATATTTTTACAATAACACATAGCCCTTGAATTGCAACTAGTGCTGTGTGATAAAGCTGCAGCTATGATGGATTGGAAAACTGAAATGTTGTATGGCTTATGTTAAAATTACATTACTTACATTTCACGGTAAGGCAAGCACCGGAACATATCTGTGTAATAGTCACCTGCTATAATATTTAGCAGTACTTTTATAGGAGGCAGGCTGCGTTTCCTTCATATTAGTGTCAATGTGTTAGCTGAGCCTTACACATTACACAGCATCTGGATGGGAATACTGGAGGTCAGGAAGTGCACAGATATCCCCAAGTGTTCCGTTGCTATGTACAGGAAAATGTTTTGTCTTTAAACGACTTTGGGCATAGCAATGAATCCTTTTCTGTATGCATACATTCCAGGGAAACAGAGAAGAAAAAGCTGAAACTGGAGGAGGAATGCTGGGAGTTAAACCATAACTTGAAACACATAGAGAATAAAACCAAAAAGCTGCTGGAAGAGAAGGAAGAAGTCATGAAGGAACTAGAGGGCAAGAGAACTCTGCTGGAAAACAAGGAGCAAGAGTTTAACCATCTCACCAAGATGCTGGAGTATTCCAAAGAAAATGAAGCTGCTTCTCTGGGAGAAAGGTTACTTTGCATTTGCTGCCTTTTTTCCTTTTGTGTATTTGCACCAAGGTCTAGTATAGATAATGATTTTGGAATGTCATGAAATGAACAAGAAGCAGCAGGTGTTGGAAGGACTTGTAATAGACCCTACTGAAATGTCCACACACACATACATACGCCACTGCCAGAAAGCACAGTATGATAAACTTTTATTATGACATAACGGAAATTCACAGTGAAGAAGAACTCAGGGCCAGCGGGAAAGGCTGGATGATGTTTGACTAACAGGAGCTGTACTGGCCTTTCGTAAAATGAGAGAACAGCTAGTATGCAATGCAGAACCTGACACCCTGAAACATGTTTTGTCTGTGAACTTCCCTCCTCTCTATTATCACAGCTTAGATGGAGCAGAATAGGGGGATCTCCTTGGAGCAGGGGGGGTTTTCGCTAGGTTTAGACCCGCTCAGTGCCAACATGCTGAGTAAGGAGGGAGCTTAGCCACATGAAGACCATTGTTTGCCTATACCTGTGTACAGTAACTGTTTTTTACTTTTTTTAAATTGGCTTATTTTCTTAAATTGCATTTAAATTACGTTTATGGCCAATTTAGATGCAAATAATGCTTATCGGGGTTCTTTAAACCAATGAGCCTAGCTCCATACAGGTCTCTGTGATCACTGCAATTGTTTTAGTATACATCTTGTTCATGTTTCAAAATATTTGTATTTCAGAGCAGCCCTGGAACTCAATTTACGACATGCTATGATAGAGAAGCAGAACCAACGCGATGCACTCACCCGCAAACATAAAGAAAAAGAAAGGGATTTAAAGAACATTAAGAAACTGGAGCTGCAGTTTAAATCAGCAAATGATGCTCTAGCACACACACAGGCTTTATATGATAAGGTCAAAGCAGAGGTAAATTAATATGTGTGTGTGTATGTAAATTCTCTTTATCAATGTATGTGAGTCTACACATTTAGCACTGCTGTCTGTTTAGGATGCCCCATGCTCTATAATGTCAAGAATCAGTGCCAAATATATTGTTTGCCACAATGGATTTTTACCCCAAATAGTTGTTGTTATAGCGAAATCTGCTTTTAATAATGGAATTAGTCATAGGCTGATATGTACTGTATGTGTTTAGTAACGTAGGGCTACAAGGGTCCTCATTTCTGGATGGAACCCAGAAGGGCATACAATTTAGGGGGCACACTGCCCAAGTTTACTGTCTTATATATTTTGTTTTAAATTATCATGGAAATTGTTATGGGGAACAAAAGCATAAGAAATGTAAAATGTCATTACATTCAGGGAAAAAATAATTTATATTAATTTATATTATGTAATGTGTTTACCACTGATAAGCTACAAAGGTCTTAAGTCAAAGACAGCTAGTTTAGTGTGACAATCCTAAAGCTTCCCTAACACTCATGCACCCTTTAACACTTAACCTGCCCTTCCTGAGTCTTTAACATTTATTCTGACCCCTAAAACCAGCTCTTAAATGTTTTCTGTAGCCAGCTATGGCTTTCTCTAAAACTGACAAAAAAGTAATCAAATCAAAGTTGCATCTTTGTAACCATAACCATGGCAACTAGCATTGCATATACCATACAGAATGCCCCTCCCCAAATATAATTTCCTGCTCATGTGATTGACTTGCTAGGACTGATGATATGACTATAATAGACAGAACGCGGGAAGTAAATGCAGGTGTACATGCTTGCAGTATATATAACTGGCATGGAAAGGGTTTCTTTTTCCCACAATAGGCATGGACATACACATCCCATAACAATTAACCTCTAACATAACCCTAAACTTTAAACCTGACCTTAATAAATGACCTCACCCTAATGCTTAACATCCCAAAAATGAGCTCTTTACATTGAATCTTCATGTAAACACTTAACACAACATTAAAAAGGTCAGACTATCCAAAAGTTATATTTTAGTTATAGGAGGAGTCTGGTGGGCCAAGTCAAACCCTGGTTTCTTATATATTTTAAAAACATAAACATCAAGGCCCCTGCTACTATAATTCTTCATTTGGTTTCTATGCACCTGGAAGTTTTTGATGTTACCTTTGCTTGTTTGATCACTTCATCTGAGCAGGAACCCCTAATTTAATAGAGCAGAAACCCCTTATAATCACAGCAGCTGTGTAGATCTAGAAACAAAGCACAGATACCTTACTAATTGAGTGCCGGGGACATAATGACATTTTTGGGTGATGTCAGTTTTGGAGAGACTGAACCTTTGAAACTTTAAAGTATATTCCTAAAACTCAGACCCTAATACTAAACTGTCCTTAGCCCTACACTGATTCATAACATTTAACTAATATCTGTAGCAGAATGTTGTCCTGCACCAGGGGCGGCTTCAAAGTTACCAGCTCTGTGGCTGGCACCAAATTGTTAGTGCTGAGAACTAATAAATTCTCAATGGGGGAGGGGCAGATAGTTTAAATCCAGCACTAAGGACAATAGGAAATAAATACAGCACTAAGGACAATAGGTTTGTTTGGTTATGTATCAATTACAAATTCTACTGTGTTTTAGGGTAGGTTCACACCATTTTCTGGACCAGATCTGGTCTGGAAAATAGTGTGAACCTGCCGCAGTTCCAGTGCATTCCAGACCAGACAAAATGAGACATACAGTATTTTTCTGGTCTGGTCTGGAATGGACAGAGGCCAGAAATAGCATAGGGATACATTAGGATGCATTTTCAGTCCGGAAACAATCTGGTCTGGTCTGGAAGTGATCTGGATGTGGTGTGAATGGGTCCTTAAAGGTCTTAAGCTGGCCTTACACCAGTCAGGGCTGATCGCTAAACAGTTTACCTCCAACCACACTACACCAGTCGGGACTAAACAACGTGGATGGGGAATCCCCCTCATCGGGTTATTGTATTCTAACAGTGTGTGTGCCACTGTCAGAATACCCAAACAGTGACTGCAGCTAATTGGCTGCAGTCACTGTTTGGCTGACAATTTTCAGACCAGCTCCTTCGACAAAAGTCGACTTGGCCAAAGTTTGGTAAGTGTATGGTAAGCTTTCAGGTGGCCTTACACTTCTTGAGCAGCTTTGAAAAATCTTCATATGAACAGAGCCGGCAGCCAATGAGAAAAGAAAAAGAAACAGTCCTCAGTCAACACACTTGTAGCGTTGCTGGAGGAATCTGCTCTATTTTTTTCATTCCTCCCACAGGTTGAACAAACAAAAAAGAGCAGTGTTTGGTCAGCCTTAGTCTATTCACAAACGTTCCTATCCTTGTAAGAAGCGTACAGTCTTATAGTTCTGTCACAGTCATATGAACAAACACATCTTCTAGGATCACTAGTAGGTACTGTATAAGCCAGTTTACTCTTCAGTATTTTGGGTTGTTGGAGGGAAACCATGCAAACAGGGAGAGACGTTACAATGCAGATAGTGTCACTGATGGAAATTGAACCCAGAACCTAGTACTGAAAGGCAAGTGTACTCAGCACTATGCTTAGTTTGTTGTAACCTTCAACCCCATCTCAATGGAGATCACTTTCGGGAGAATTCCAGCTGCGTGTCATGATGGACTCTGTCCTAAAGGCTAATAGTAAGCTAATTTGTGCATGATATTTAATAAAATAATGCTATTACAAAGATGGTACCTCTTCAAGCAGGGAAAAGTAAAATAATAGCTCATTATAAAAGCAAGTATTGCGATAACATTTTCCACTTTAGGATCATTGTCCCTTTCAATGTATTAATAATTATGCTACTTCAGTACACTTTCACTTTAATTTTTCTTGTGCAGATAGACGATTTCCCGAAAGATGATGGCGTACTCGTCGAAAAGAGGAAGGAACTGCGCAAGGAGGTTCAAACACTAAAAAGGAATTTTGCACAACAGGTCAGCATCTTGCATATCACTTCAGTTTCTCTTTTTCCATTTAAAAACATGTAAACAATTATTTATGCAATTACAGCTTAGAACTAAAGCTAAGCAACTGAATATACACTTGAAATACATATATGTGACTAAGTGGAATTAAACATTTTTTGGCATAGCTCACACTCTTGAGGGTCACTTATTGGTAGAAAGGAATGCCAGGTCCTTCCCCACTGCAAGTATTGTAGTACAGCTTGGTCAAGGACCTGCTCCAGCCCGTAATTGTCTAGTGAAGGAGTAGAAGCACAATGTTGAGATCATCACTCTGCTCTTTCATTGTAAAGGCCAAAGGGTTTTGGATAGAGCAGAAAATGAATAGGCCCTTTGTCAGGCTTGTATTGCTCCCCTTGTCCCCACCGGGGAGAGTCACCTTTCTATTTGTCCTGATGACTGTTGTCACTGACAAATAAAGAAAGAAAGAGGAAATACAAAAATGTTCAGCTGTCACAAAAGCAAGATCCTCCAATGTGGACACCTGTTTCTGTAACAATTGTCTAAGATTGGAAGTGGGTTCTGTTTGGAGAGCCGTCCTCTGATTTCATGACACCAAGTGAACAGAAAATACACAGGCAGACAATAATAATCTGATATGGGTTCTAACCGACCCTGTCTAAAACTAAAAAAAAAAAGTTTTGGCCGTACATACACTTTAACTGAATTCTGTAAATATGTATAGCTCAATTCATAATTTATTTTCCCCCAAAAAATCTAAATTCTCCAAATATGTAGTTTTCCAGTAACTCTGTAAATGTCTATTTATGTATTCAGTATTTTTCCAGCCTAAATGTATTTACTAGTGCTAAGGTAAAAAAAAACTTGCCAATTTCTACTACAGCAAACGCTAACAGAGATGGAGATACATGTACTAATGCAGTGTATCACTGAGGAAGAACGGCTTGTCAAGCTACAAGCTGAATGTCGGGAGGAGTTGGTCAACTTAACCCGTTTGGCCCAAATCAAAGGCGATGAAAGGGAGCAGAAGTCGAGAGATTTTGTTAGAGCTCAGGTAAATCATTTTGTTACATTGCTTCAATATTCTGAATTGTATACATCAATGGCTTTCTTCAATAAAGTATATTAAACAACATAAAACATTATGGCAACCCAATTCTTCTTACTAAAATCAGACCAGGATTTTGGCTGGGTGTGGTAGGTACTGGAGTTTGTACTTAGAACTTTTCTCCTCTATAGAATTGAATTAAACTACATGTCTAAATGTTACTGTTTGGCAAAATTTACAATGACAGCATTTAAATTTGACCCGGACATAGTACAAACTTTTAGCCCAAACTATGTTTATTCTAAAATCTGTATATAACTTAATGGAGAAATCGAACACAGTTTTTATGGGTGTGGAAAGAGTGGGGAAGAGTTACAATCTATGTTAGGTAGCCATAGCTGTCTGTGTAGATGCGGTTGATAGTGTTTGTAGTCATCATCATAATAATAATAGCCATTGGGTCATGTTTTCTGCCTTGAGGAAGGGACCATGCGCGGCCCCGAAACGTCAGTTTGTTTTTGTCCAATAAAAAGGACATATTTACTTTCATTAATGAGTGCTGGTGATTCCCTGCTTTTTTCTGTGTCTGCACGGCGCCATTCGTGAACCAACATCACTACGAGCACCATCTTCTTTCATTTGGCCGGTTCTGCTGTGAGGTGTGCGGAGGGCTCCCCCAACGACTTACATGTGTACATTTCCACTCATTTCCTGTGCTGGTAAGACCTAAGACACAAAGTTAGGGGAAATGTTTCAACAGACAGCAGTAAAGAGGCTTTTATTATTATGATGATGATGATGATGACCACAAACGCTATCAACAACATCTACTATCTTGGTTGTTTGCAACGTGACTTCCAGATAACTGGCCTCATAAGTAGTGTATGGCCTTGGAATAGGGCATTCCTGATACCGTAGATTAGATCTAGTAGCATCTAATGGGACACAATCAATGGCCTAGTATGTGAGCATTGTTGTCTAATTTATAAATAGTCTTATCCCTTATAGTCATTAGAAAGTAAAATCTGAATGCATGTTATAGACATAAGCATTTTTCAATACAGTCTTGGTATATTTTGTAGGCATACTAAAATGTGTATGTATAACTGTAAGGAAAACTTATTTTAATAGTTTGTTTGGGCAGTATTTGTTGCAGAGCTACTGGGCATTGTGGGGAAACATCACATGACATTTCCCCACAAGATATAATTACATTACTGGTATTCACTTATTTGTTCACAATCAAACTTGCAGTACTAGCATTATAAAAATACTTTTCTTTAGAAATTAGCTGTAGAGCATTGCTTCAAAGTTCCTTTAATATGTGCTTTTGAGGAACCTGGATTGTTAAATATGTTGCAATTTAATGTTGTGTCGTAAATTGATGATAAAACTGCAAGATTGGTTTTATACATCTGTATATCACATGATATTCTTGATACAATGCTTGTGTGCAATTATTTTAAAGTAAACCTTTCAGTACCATAATGATTCTAAACAGGCAGCAGCACTAGAATGCAGCCATATTATGCCTACGCATACACTTGGATGTCTTCTGGAGCACCCTGTGCCCCAAATTCTTCATTACTAAAATTTCAACATTTGCTTCATAGTGTGGAGAGGTGGCTTGTCCCTTCACAAATTCCACAACTACCCACTGGCCAATAAGGCTGCCTATTCAGGTGATGGGTCAATAGGTTGGTGTTGAAGGGACAGGCCAAGTCACCAAACTACCAGGAGATGCTGAGATTTTGTACATTGGAGCCCATCTGGACTCGGAGTATTCCAGAAGACATCTAAAGGCGCATGGAGTCATTGGTAGATTTCAGCATTCCACTGATGCATTCTGTGTTACCCCATTATGGTAATGATAGGTCGTACTAAAGAAGAATTCAACCTATTCAAGCCATTAAATGGCTGAGCTGCTTTGCTCTATACATATTAAAACAGAGTAAGACCTTTGTCTCGTTTTCCTGAAACTGGGAACATTACTAATATGCAAGATAGTTCAGTTGTATCATAAGATCAGAATCACCTGTAAACTCTAGTGATTAAGATCGTAGGTCAGTAGGAACTATAAGTGTGAACATATACAATGTCTTTTTACAGAAAAAGAAATTTACAGCACTGTCAGATGAGGTTGCATGACAATAATCCATAGTTTTTGGGGCTATGTAAATTCGAACACTCACAATTGTTATGTTCTCTGTAACAAATCACTGTACCTCTAATCAACAGCAAAGATACCAACAAGTTCTGCAAGAAATTAAGGGGCGGGATCTGCTTATTGGAGAGCATAAGAAGCAAAACCAAGAAGTCCAGAAAAGGTAATCTGATCCAAAACCTCTATAGACAGCTTAATTGCAACATAAATGTTGTATTGTGTAAAATAATAGCAGACAAATGAGCCCAATACAACTATCAAAGTGCACAAGAAAACTGCATTACGTAGAGATGCACAGAGACCTAGTGATGATGTCACTGGGGTTACAAAAAGGCATGTAATGAAAACGGAAAGTTTTCTTTTTAAATTTCATTAGCATGTTAATGAGGAAGTGGAGGAAGAAACCAGAGGAGGCAAAATATAAGCACATTAATCTTCAGCCTGATGATGCTTCCATTCTGCAATCTAGTACTCTAGGGACCTTGGGCAGGTAAAAATTGCTACCTCTTTCGGTCCCTAAAATCTCAGCATAACAGAAACTCCTACTGTTAGTAAAAGGAATTTTTAAGTAAATGGATGGATAAATGTGTATTTAAATAATAATATAATGAATATAATATAATAGCACTCCAAAATGTAGCTCTTTTCTTAGAAAATCTGATGCGGGGCTACTGATATGATCTATGCTCTAAAGTCTTATCATAGCTCCAGTTTTATTCAGGTAAAGAAATCCGGCCTAAAGTATCTTACATAAAATTTTCTGATTTCAAATATTTCTGTCTCACAGACTGATGGAGTTTGCACAGATGTATGATATTATCCGCAATGAAAGGAACAAGTGTGTCAGTCTCATTCAGATGGCTACTCAACGGGCAGCAGAACTTCGAGAGAAATTAAAGATCTATGGAAATGAGGTGGAAATTTTGAGAACCAACGTCTCCAGCAAAGAAAGGTCTGTGTAGAATTATAGAAAAAGAGTACTGATTGAGGTGACATAAGGACAGGCAGAATGAAGACATGCACTAATAGCTTTATTAATGCGGGGAAGACATGCATTGAAGCTCTATGGACCCTAATTATACAGTTAAACTTTAAAAGATAAGTGTACATCTAACTGTAGTATTCAAGTTTGGTCCCCACCCCTTTCCTCCACAACAATTTTTACATATGATTTAGTAACTAAAATATTGATCAACAGGACTTTATGCTGCCCCACCGGTGCAAGGCTAGGATACCTGTCAAATAAGACATATAGAGGACACCACTGCTGGCCTTTTCCTGACAATACCACTTCTTTGGCTGTATCACAATCCTTCATCTTTCTACTTGTTCTTGGTCAGCTATGACACATAGGTATAATACGGCTTACTCAGAATATGTCAAATCAGCAGTCCTCTGTCCCAAGTGTGTAGTAAAGTAACTTCATTCATCATGAAGGCAGCAAGATTCCTGCATATTAGCACAGTAACCAGTGCCTACCATTTTACTCTATTGATGATCCATAGAAAGCCCCTGGCATACTACTACGGTATGATTAATGCCTGACCATCTGATACGGATCAAAAGTGGTAAATGTATCGCCACACAACATCAAAAAGTGGTTTGCTCTGATGTTCCAGACACATGACTAAAAGTACTAAAACAAAAGCATCAGCACAACAGCCACTAGCAATCTCAGAAGGTGACATAATCGTAGGCAAACTATGTATTTCTTCTTTGGACAGTGCTGCTGATGTGAGGAGGGTCAGAGGCATTATTTGGACAGTGCTGATTAGAGGAGATGCAGGGACATTATTTAGATAGTGCTGCTTATGGAGATGAGTGGTGGAGGCCAGTGGCGTAACAACCTTGGGGTGCAGCCGGCGCAGAGCTGGGGGGGGGGCGCTGTCCGCCAGGCAGTGACAAGTGAGCCCAGCGAATGAAAGATTTGTGTGGGGCTGCCCTGACAGACAATCATGGGGCTGCCCTGGGCCCAGGGTGCAGCAGCTTCACGCTGCAGGGAGAGAGAGACTGCGGCTCTGTGATAAGGTGAGTGATTCATGGTTTTTTTCTCGGTTTCCCCCGTGCTTCCTCTATCCGTGTAAACTGACACCAGCCAGGAGGACAGTGTCAGACGGCTGAGGAGACTATCTGCCATTCCAGAACACAGAATAGCTGAACTTAAAAGTTTCAACTATTCTGTGTTCTATTACAAAAACACCATTTAGTTCATCTGGGTTCAGCAAGTATGAACTGAAGAGTTCATATGAGGACCAGGACCAAATGGCTTAGTGATTTTACAGCCTCATATCATACAGGCAACTACAAGTCCCAGCATGCCCTCATTGTCCCTGTACAGTTCCCCATATCTCAGTTCCCTGAGTGATATTTGGGGGGCGTACAGGGACAATGAGGGCATGCTGGAACCTGTAGTTACCTGGGTAATATTTTGGGGGAGTATACAGGGACAATGAGGGTATGCTAGGACTTGTAGTTCAATTACGACAAGTCCCAGCATGCTCTCATTGTACCTGTACACCCCCACATATCACCCGGGAAGGGTGGGGGGGGGGGCAACATTTTGTTTTGCCCCGGGCGCCCGTTACTCTGGTTACGCCACTAGTGGAGGCATTATGTGGCTAATACTATTAATGTGAGGAGGGATGGAGGCATTATGTGGCCAGTGCTATTTTTGGGTGGAGGGGTGGAAGCATTATGTGGGCATTGCTGTTATAGGGAGTACAGGCAGAGGAATTACTGGAACATTGCTAGTGAAGACAGGAGACAAAAGGCATTATTTAGACTTTGCTGTTGTAGGGAGTAAAGACAAAGGCCCTATTGGAAAATTGCTTTTATAGGGAGAAGAGGTTGAGGCAATATTTGGACTTTGTGGTTATAGGGAGTAGAGGCAAAAGCATCATTGGAACATTGCTGTTATAGGGAGGAGTGGTGGAGGCATTACTTGGACTTTGCTGTTATAGGGAGTAGAGGCAGAAGCATTATTGGAACATTACTGTTATATGGAGGAGTGGTGGAGGCATTACTTGGACTTTGCTGTTATAGGGAGTAGAGGCAGAAGCATTATTGGAACATTACTGTTATATGGAGGAGTGGTTGAGGCAATATTTGGACTTTGCTGTTATAGGGAGTAGAGGCAGAAGCATTATTGGAACATTACTGTTATATGGAGGAGTGGTTGAAGCAATATTTGGAGAAGGGTGCAGGCATGACATGGACAGTGCTGTCATAAGAAAGAGAGGCAGAGGCTTTATTTGGAAAGTGTTGGTAAAAGGTGCACCTACTCTTTTAAAGAAACTTGAGAGGATAGACTTATAAGAATGGCCATTATTGTATTTAAGGTACAAACTCTGGGACTGTCATCTTGTTTCTAACTGAAATGCCTAAAGAGTCACTGACCTGGAACAAGCATACAAGTTGTGATTTCTTATTTTTCAGACTTCGCTGGCCTCTTGTTTGTTCCAGACTCACTAGGTTGTAAAGAGAGGCTCAGAATAACAGCCCTTACAAGTTAACTATAAATGGTATATGGACACCAGAATATGGTAATCTATAGAGATTCCTACCTACAGTAACACAAATTCTAGTAAGGGCAATGATATGTGGGATTGGCCAGAACTGAAAATGACTACTGCAGATTTAAGAAAAACTGTGATATTTAGACCTTTTTTTTTAAACCAAAATGGACCTTCCTCTAGTCTCTGTATTTATGGAGAAAGTGAAGATGGTATATGTACTCTAAAATCAGCAAAATCCTTTTTCAGCTGAATAATAAATATACATGCCCAAAATAGAAAAAAATAATCACATCTTACGAAGGCATATATTTTACACAACGTAAAGTGACACTCAAAAGTTAAATCTTAAACATGCATTCGAGTACCGTAACCAGGGGCGGACTGACCCATCAGGCACTTGGGTGCTGCCCGAGGGCCTTCGGCCAGAAGGGGGCCCGTCACCCAGGGCTGAAACTAGGAGTGGGGGCATGTGACTGACCGCTCTGGCGATCAGAATCCTACCATGGGCGGAACGATCAGGGTTCACATTGAAAGGACCCTGCTGTTCTGTCACTTCCCCCGACATCAAGGAGACAGGAGAGAGGCCCCTCCCCTCAGCCAAGCCAGCAGTGCACATGAATGGAAGGGCAGGTAGCACTGGAGGAAGATGCAGGGCAACTCCATCCCAGTCTCCCCCCGCCCCCTGGGATGCAACACTCTGCAGAGGAAAAGTAACCTGTAACTGCCTCAGAGTGGTGAGTGAAAAATATTTAACTGTACATTGTATGTAAATAAGGAGAAAAATATTTTCTTTACAGAAATAAATATTGTTAAGCTGAAAATTGTATTAATTTTGTGTTTATATAGCCCAGTGTTGTGTACAAGCATACTAATAGAACAGTACTATGTTTCTTATTACGGTGCTCTGCGTTCTTTAATATCGTGTACTGCGTTCTTTAGTACCGTGCTCTGTGATCTTTACTACCTTGCTCTGCGTTCTTTACTACCGTGCTCTGCGTTCTTTAATACCGTGCTCTTCGTTCTTTACTACCTTGCTCTGCGTTCTTTAGTACAATGCTCTGTGTTCTTTACCACCGTGCTCTTTGTTCTTTAGTACCGTGCTCTGTGTTCTTTACCACCGCGCTCTGCGTACTTTATCACCGTGCTCTGCGTACTTTACCACCGTGCTCTGCATTCTTTACCACCATGCTATGCGCTCTTCAGTACCGTGCTCTGCATTCTTTACCACCTTGCTCTGCGTTCTTTAGTACCGTGCTCTGCGTTCTTTAGTACCGTGATCTGCGTTCTTTACCACCGTGCTCTGCGTTCTTTAGTACCGTGCTCTGCGTTCTTTAGTACCGTGATCTGCGTTCTTTACCACCGTGCTCTGCATTCTCTACCACCATGCTCTGTGTTCTTTAATACCGTGCTCTGTATTTTTTAATACTGTGCTCTGCGTTCTTTAATACCGTGTTCTGCTCTGCATTCTTTACTACTGTGCTCTGTGTTCTTTACTCTTTATGTGATCTCACCTATGAAAACCCTTTCTGAGTGTCATCTGCACCACGTGTATAGTTCCATGTATAGCAATCAGCAAGTTTGAAGCTAGGAGGGGTGTCTCTGTGCATCAAGAGAGCGGAACTTTATGAGGCTATTTCAAGCCTTCCTTCTGCTCCGCAGCATTCAGAAAAGGCCCAGCTGAGCCACAGAGGAGGTTCAAATGAACCTCCATGGCGGATCAGTGTCTTTAGACCCGTTTCTGTGCTCACTACTTTTGGTGTGGCGTCACGCCTCCTGATCCACCATGGAGGTGAGGCTTAAAATCACTTTATTCAAGTCTCTCCTCCATGACAGATTAGAAGGGGCAATGCTTGGAAAATAGAAGTGAGCCCAGAAGCGGCGCTTTAATTAAGGAAGCAGCACTGGAGAATGAGATGATTTGAAGCCTCACCTCTGCAGTGGATCAGTAGGGGCCCCGTTGTGAGAAAAGGAGAGCCCAGAAATGTGGGGTGGGGGTGTGTGGATGGAGATGTCCTGGGGGGGAGCAACTCTGAGTCTTTGCCCCGGGTGGCGGAATGTCTAGCTTCGTCAATGCTGTTACCGTCCCTCCCTCCACCCCCCCCAGCTCTCCTTTCACTCACTTTCAGCCCCACATTACGTAGCGTGGGGGGGGAGCAAAGGGTGCTGAAGGGGCCCAGTGAGATTCGGTCCCGGTGCACCCCCCCTTCACATTCGAGGTGGCATGGCTCTTTCCACACAGACCTCACAGCAGCCGACCAAGTCTGCCTGTATACAGCACGTCTCACATTACACAGCATTCCATCGGCCAGCACAGATCTTCACTGCCCGCACATCACTTCTGCTGATCCTCCTCATCTGCTTCTCCGATCCTTCTTATCTGCCCTATGATCCTCAGCATTTACCTTGCTGATCCTCCACATCCGCCCCTCTGATCCTCCATATCTACTCTGCTGATCCTCCGCATCTGCCATGCTTATCTCCACATCTGCTCCGTGAGACCCTCTGCATCTGCCCCTGCTGAGACCCTCCATCTGAGACATCAGGCCGGCACCCGGAACGGAGCGGTAGCATAGAGTATGTAGCAAATTCATATACTATTCTGCATTGCTGTATAATGTATTGCTGGGATTTGTAGCCCTCTAGCTGATGGTATTATTCTGCATTTGCTGTGTAATGTATTGTCGGGATTTGCAGTCCTCTATAGCTGGTGGTAATTGTCAGAATTGAAGAATCTCAGTCAAATTATCCAAACCAGAAGAATTCTGCCAATGAGCTCATTTTCCAAATCACCTATATTGGTGTAGAACTGGTGCTCCAAATTCTTCTACCAATTCCCGTGCAATTCACTTTTTAGTGAATAGACCTGCTATTTTGAAAATAGTGAGGAGAAATAATTTATGTAACACAAGAATTTATATGTGGGTGGGCCTTATGCATGAGGGGGGGCTGTGGCCTGTATATGGGCAGAGCAAAAGGGGCCCCATAATCTCGTATTGCCCAAGGGCCCCATATGTTGTCAGTCCACCCCTGACCATAACCATTAATAAAACTGTATCTCACAGGAGTGAGCTTAGAGTGGTGGCTACTTTACAACACACACAGGGACCATGGGGAACAAAAGTAGCCACCCTCCAGAAGGAAGGACAATGTCAGCACCAATTCAGAGATGATTTGAGGATCTACAGCTGAGTGATACACAAACAAGATACATTTTTGTTAATAGTTAGGGTACTTGAATGCATTTTTAAGATTTCATTTTGTAGCATTGGCTCCATTGTAGAGGTCATCTTCTGATTTTGCTCAATATATCAGCTTCTGTTATGAATTGTGCTGAAAGAAAAAGGTAAATCTTTTAATTTTGTGACACAGACAACTACAGAAGGCTATGTTGAAGCAGATCAATAACCATATGATCCGAGACAGTCTTCGCAAGGATAAGAGCAGAATCAATCTTATTCTTCAAGAAATGAAAGAAATCAGAGAACAGAAGAAAATGGAGATTGGCAGACTAACTAATCTGATAAACCAAGCAGAAGAGGATATGGTTCGCCTACGAACAAAGTATGAAACAGCAGTGCAGAACAGGAATGAGAGGTAACTATGGCGGCCTTCATGTTACATTTATGTTTTGCATTTCATAAATCAATTATTTCAAATAATAAAAGAGGGACCAGTAATGCTCACAGGGGTTTCTGATCGATATAGCAGTAAGGGGTTTCTGATCGATATAGCAGTATTCAGTCTAGTTTCTTAAAAGGCTTACATCTAAATTGACTGATATATGTTTATCAGTTGACATAAAGGCCATTATTTTCAGTAGAGTTACACCGAAATGGAATTTTCAGACTGAAACCGAAAATAAAACATTTGCCAGCCAGAAACCAAAAATCATTAAAAAAATAATATATATATATTTTTTAATTACTTTACTAACAGGGGCTTTGGGGAAATATCAGGTGTCTAAACAGACCACTGATATTTCCCTTTTGAAGCAGAAAAATTGATTGAGGACACAGAGTCCTAAATCTTTATTTCTGCAGCCCCTGTTATGAATAACCAGGAAGCCTATACTGAGTGCTTGTGTCTATTCATAAACTGCAGACATAGTATGAGTTACTATGTCCACAATCCTAAGTGAACAGGAAGTCATGTAGAGCACTTCCTGTTCATTCATAATTGGGGACACAGTAAACAGTTAGCGATCAACTGATTGCGGAGTGTTTGTATACCGCTTTCCATCTCTGCTCCCCACACCTCTGGCTCAGCCTCGGCTCTCCTCCCCGCCCCGCTTGGCCTCCTGAAAGTTCCCCTCCTCCCCGTTGGACGCTGCTCTGTGTCCCCACTGATCCCCGCGGCCTCCGCCAACACATGCGGTGGGATCAGAGGGGACACAGAGCAGCACCCAGAGGGAAGGAGAGAAACTAGAGATGCATCACATTTCCGCAATGTGCCTAAAATACCATTTTTGGCTGAAATGTTTCGGCAGCCAACATTTTGGTGCATCTCTAATTTTCAGTAATGACAGCCTTTGTGAGCCTAAAATAACAATCATGTGGCTGAATATAATGATCGGTATAGAAAATAGCACATATATATTAGTAAACTGAGCCCATATTGTTATTTACAAGGAGGGTATAAAAGTGATAGGAGATTTTTTACAAAAGTTTCGTTTTGAAGTGACCCGACTTTAACCCTTTTGCTGCCAGGCCTTGCCTCCCATTTTTCACTTTTTGTGGCTGGATAATTTCTGTTACATTTCATGTGTTTTGCTGCTTTTTATCATTTTTCACTTACAGCTTTAAAAGTTAGTAAAAT